AGTTGGGACTTGGGAAGGGAAGAAACTCAGACGAATCTACTGAATAACGCGTGGTACATTTCTTTCTTTCTTCAGACATGAAAGCACTAGGAATTGTCAAGTCACTCAGAGCCCGTGAGATAGTAGTTGTTTTATTTACCCCATTTTTGCAGATAAATTCAAGAAAATAGGAAGTGTGGATAGAACTAAGAAAAGCTAGCATAGCTAGCTAGGCCTTTCGTACACCCCGCAACTGTGGAAAGCACTCTTAAGGTCATGAATTTTGTACAATATTCAGAATGTTTGTTCTTTCTATCTAAAAGAAGACGTTCTGCATTTCACTTTTTATTTCTTTTACAGTTCTTCTTTTTTACTTTTCACCATTACTACTAGAAACAACAAGAAAGCCCGAGAAGAAAAGTAGTAATGAGAAGCATTTGAGCCATAAACAAAGAAAAATACAGTACTATGTTTTTCGTCTTTTTTTATATGTCTCTTTAATTTGACTCTAGCAAAGAAATTTAAGAATATAAGGAAAATTGTTGAATCATGTGATTTAAGCTAAATGTGTGTATAACAATATAAAAATGTCCTTTAAATTCTGTCTCGTCGTTTCTCATTTCTCTATCATTAATGATACTCCCTCCGTTCACATTTACTTGTCACGTTTTAATTTTTCACGCTCTTAAGAAATAATAAATGAAGTGCATAATTTATCATGATACCCATATTAATTGATGCATATTTTATTGGATTTGAGAAAATAATTTGAAATGAGTAATAAATACTATGGGTATAACAGAATTTTTTTTTGTCTTCTCTTGATATGCATAAAGTGACATGTAAAAATGAAAATCTATTTTTAGTATACATGCCAAGTAAAAGTAAATGGAGGGAGTAAAAAGAGAATGTTGAAATTAGTAACTTAATACTCCATCCGTTTCAAATTAGATCAAATACTTTCCTTTTTAATCTGTTCCAAAATAAATGATACGTTTCTAAATTTGGAAATAATTCAACTTTAAACTCTTCATTTTACTTATTTTACCATTAATGAGAAGCTTTTATAACCACACAAATGTCATGGCCCACAAAAACTTAAGCTTTTAAGACCACAAGTTTTAAAAGTCTTCTTATTTTTTGTTAAACTCCGTGCCAAGTCAAACTAACTCATCTAAATTGAAACGGAGGGAGTAAATACAGAAAAAATATATTTCCTAGACAAACTAAAAAAGAAAGTAAAACACATCAATTGAACAATCGACCTTTGATGCCACACCTTAACCAGAGCAATTTCTATTAAGAAATTAAAATGACATCAATTTAAAGAGCCCTCATCATCAATGTAGCGTTTACCTAGTCCTTTGCTGTTTTAGCTTAATGTCGAAGTCTTGCTAAATGCGGGGTAGTAAGATTTAGAGATTGAGACCTATATTTAGGTAGCATTTCTTTGCTAAATTAATTGGTCTCTAAACCCCTCAAGTCGGGAGGATGAGCACAATTCACCCAAAAAATGTGCAATGACTGATGATAGAAACTCAAAAATTAATTAGGTTAACTAATTTGCAGGACGATTAATAAGGGTCAGTGTATATGACTGAAATCTTAGTAACTGATACTAGAGCAAAATAGAAAGAGTGTCTCACATACAGGAGTATTAAGGAAATTAAAAGGCATTCATTTCATGTAGTAAATCCATGTGCTAACATGCCGATGAACTAAAGCTAACAAATTAACTGCTGCTAGACGTAGGCGTTTATATATAATATAATTAAAGAGAAACTGACCTGAGATATTGCTAATTGTAGTGGCCGGAGCAGCGCAGAGATTGGTAAGTTGAGTTTCAATATCATTAAGAAAAGTAGTTGCTTCATTGAAAGGCCTTTCAAGATCCGACTTGAACTTTGCTAACACATCACAGTAAGTTCCCTGCAGTATATATCACCATTCACTATATAAGCACAAACAAATCTACACACAGAGATCCCATATCCCCAATTAGGAATGAAAGCTTGATACATATATATATATATATATACTACTCATAGGATTGAGATGAAAACAAGAGAGAGACCATGAAAGCATCCAGCTCAGAATCGTCGCTCAGTCGATTTGATCTCCTAGAAAGATCATTTTCGTGGACAATATTAATATTGTCCAACATATCAACAATCTCATCAGATGGCACTCCTACCTGCAAACGTTATACATACCATAAGATTAATATTGATGAAAAATTGTCAGATAACAAGAGATAACACCAAAGGTCTTCTTGGTTAAACCCTAGAATCATATATAGCAATCCAAAACCCTAAAATCATAGCTGAACATTGTGTTCCTAGCAGTGTTCAAACACATAAGAAAATAAGTTTTTTTCTTTCTTTCTTTTTTTCTCTAGGTCTACTCTTTCTACTAAACAGTTTCCAGACTGAAATTTTTTTACCTTGTGGCAGTCGATGTAAGTACGAAGAAGCTTAGGATACAAAGGATGAGAAGAGATCTTTGCTCTAATATCCGTCTCATGATGATCTTCTAATTGTAAATTAGAAGAAGACGTCCCAATTTTATCAACTACTAAATTAGCAGCTGAAGTTTCTGGACACGCCCACGACATATTTCCGGATCCAAATCCCATTGGGGCCAGCCCATCGCAAAATGCCGGCGGGGATCCAAAATATGGCGGCTGCAGATGGTCGTCGACGGAGTAAACATCACTACTGCTATAACCAAATTCGTACATCTCCTCCATTGATGATCAGTTAATGTTAATTTCCTACTATGCTCTTAATTACGTTGTTGTGATCAAGAAGGAGATCAAACAATCTTTAGGGTAGCTAACTTTCTTGCTTTACAGTTGTAAACAATAAGGGTCCTATCCTAATTAAACTTTCAGAAGTAAATATTAAGGAGAAAGAGAGGCGGAAGGGAGGAGATCGAGCTGATGCTTGATGGAGAGAGAAACTTTTGCCTACAAACAAATGAATTACCTGGAGAAAGTTATATAGCTGCAGCACCTGATGATCAGGAAAAGGAAGCACTGCCATCTTTCAGTACAGAAAAATGCTATTTTCTGACTACATATTACTAGTAATTTTGTGACTACAGTAGTCAAAAAATTATAATTAATTTTTTTATATTTTTTTTAATTTGTAGGCGACTGTCATTTCAACCGTAGTAGTCATAAAATTTGGCGCAAAATATCGGGAATTAATTTTTCCGACCACTATAGTCGGGACAAAGTCAATAAAAAAGTTTGACCAATCTTCCGACTACAGTAGTCGTAACTTTTAAAAAATTAATTTTTAATTTTCCGACAACAGTAGTCGGACAATGCACAAATTTCATGGTCACAATTTTAATTAAAAAATCGACTAAAGATGCCCACCACTGTAATCGAAAAATAAGTCAACAAATTGTTTACCAAAATAAAAAAGAAATTTCCAACTAGAGTAGTCGGAAAAAATAAATTAATTGCACAACTAGGTTTTATTTCGCTCATCTCCTCTTTTTTTTCAGTCTCCTCTCTCCCTCTCTCCGCCTAACGCTACTTTCAACCACTACACCACTCTACTGCCAGTCACTCCACTTCGGTAAGTTGACCGTTCTTCTGCCGGATTAGGCAGAGCTTCTCTCTCTTTCTTCAATTAGCAAAATCCTTCTCTAAATATTATTATAAACTGTCATACTTAAGTAATCCGATCTTTTTTTATTAAATTAAAGTTCAAAGACTTCATCTAAACTTGAGAAATCCAAGTGAAGGAGACTCATTCTTGCTCCTCCAAGGAAGCTACTGCCGATTTTCGCCCCTTGAAGAGCTTGATATAGGTAAGGAATTTTCTCTTAATTTGTCTACATTGTATCTGTTAGTCTCAACTTAATTTGAAGATCCAATGCTTATCTAGTGACTCTGCTTCATTGAGACATTTATTTCTATTTGGCATGAATTAGTTTAGGAACTATGTACTTTCTGTTTAATATGAATGCTTATTTTTTTGGTTATGATTTACAAATTGTTCAGTTCTGTTCATTTATCTTTCTGTTATGATTTATAGCCCACGTGTTTAACACCAATTTTTTTAAAAATAAATATTTTTTTTTATTTTTCGACTACAATCGGAAAATAGCTCCCTTTCCGACTATTTTGGTAGTCGAAAAATAACGAATTTCTAGTAGTGTTATTTTAATCTTCTAAATGGATTTATAAACATTTTTTTACCGCATAAGTAAATTTTAACTTGATTAGTTGCCATTTTTATTAGATTATCCATTAATGTTTATCGTAAGATATTTACATGATAATTGTCAAGGCCCAAAACCCATTAAAGGTCATGATTGCGCCTAACACTGCTGTCAGGCAACCCAACAATTAAATGATTAACTCCATTACTCATTTTAATATTTTTGAAATCATAATTTTCTTCAATTTAACAGTAAGAGATAACGTTTATAGAGTAGATGACAATATTTTTACAACTTTAATACTGAACAACCCAAAAGCATTCCCAAAATCCGGTGTCACGAGTACATGAGCATCAACTAGGAAATACAGTAAAATACTATATCTGGTTGAGATACAATTAGACAGGAGTATGTACATAACTCGGATGAAGACTTTATGCGTGCTGCAGATTAGTAACGTGGAATGCAGCTCGCCTAAATCCCCGCAATGACCGTGCCTCTGCGCCCACAAGACCATCCAGACATATATGCACCTGCACAAAAATGTGTAACAAGTATAGTATGAGTACGTAAATCAACGTGTACCTAGTAAGTATCCAGTCTAACCTCGAATAAGTAGTGACGAGGGGTCGACTCCGACACTTACTATGGGCTAATAATAAAATATCATTATTATAATTGAGCATGGATTGTATAGAACGACTATAAACTCAATAACATGAAGCAAGTAAACAATTCTTTTGTTAATGGGAAATTTCCAAATTTATTTTCGTCATTTAACATTTTGTATCTCAGGCCAATGAAGCAATATCAATTATTATCAATTCCTAAGATATATCATGCGCAAATCATGCCGAGGTCGTACGACCCGATCCAACATAAATATTTAAAATGTGCACTGACGAGGATCGAACGACACGAACCATAGATGCATATATCTTCTACTGAGGTGTTCGGCCCGCTCCACAAAAGAGAAAACACATTTAAAACAACCAATTCAAGATTTATTAAGGGAAAATTATCAAGAAAATACCAATTCTCATTAACGGTCAAGAAAATGAAGTTTAACATTTTACAATTCCTTTATCAAGTTTCAATATGGTTTAAGCACTTACATTAACAAGTAGGGTGCAAACATCGCAAGTATAACATGATTCGGGTCCTATACTACTTGGACATAAGCATAATAGTAGCTACGTACGGACTCTCGTCACCTCGCGCGTACGTAACCTCTACAAATAGGAGCACATAATAATTAAATTCACCTATGGGGTTAATTCCCTCTTACAAGATTAGAACAGAGACTTACCTCGCTCTGAACTTCCGTAACCAGCTCCAAAGCCTTTCCAACAACTCAAACCGATGACCATTGCTCCCAAACTAGTCAATAAATGTGCAAATCCATAAATATAGATACTCTAATACTCGTAATAATTTAATTTGCAATAATTTCAAACTCCGCTCGAAAAGTCGATAAAATCACCCCGGGCCCACGTGCCCGGATTCCGATTTCTTTTTCGTTTTTCGAAGATAAACATTACCCATGGTATCACGAACTCAAATATATAATTTACTATCAATTCCATGTCCGAATTCGTGGTCAAATCAAAAAATACCCATTTCTAGGTTTTCTACCAAATCCCAAATTTTCACTAATTTTCCATGAATTTCCATGTTAAAATCTATATATAATCCAATTATTTTACTTGCAATACAAGGGAATCACTTACCTTGACATAGATGACGAAAATATCCTCTTCAAAAGCTACAAAAATCGCCCAACCAAGTAAAAAATGAGAGAGGATGAATCAAACCTTGTATTAAAACCAATATGCCCAGGCCCGCTCTTCTTCGCGATCACGGGAGTGCCTTCGCGATCGCGAAGGCCAAACTCACTGCCTCCACATTTCCTCTATGCGTTCGTGACCCAATGGTCGTGTTCGCGAACTTGGTGACCCCCCTACACTTCGCGTTTGCGGGCCTCAAGCCGCGTTTGCGAAGGCTTAACGCATGGCGACCCCAACTCCCTACCTTTTCGCGTTCGCGTAGGCTGTTCTAGGCCCACTCTCGTGTTCGTGTCCCATGCACTACGTTCGCGTTGAACAACACAGCAGCCCAAAAATCCCTTTTTCACGAACGCGGGATTCTTTCGTGTTGGCGAAGGGCAATACCAGAACCAGCAACAACAGTTCCAAAATAGCTCAAATTGATCCGAAACCACCCCGAAATACACCTGAGGCTCTCGGGACCCCGTCCAATCACACAAACCAGTCCCATAACATAACACAGATCTGCTTGAGGCCTAAAATCACATCAAATAACAATAAAATCATGAATCACACCACAATTTGAGCTTAATGAACTTTAGAACTTCGAACTTCCACATTCGATGTCGAAACCTATCAAATCACGACCCATTGACCTCAATTTTTGCACACAAGTCACATTCGACATTATGGACCTACTCCAACTTTCGAAATCGAAATCCGACCCACATATCAAAAAGTCCACTCCCGGTCCAACTTCCCAAAAAAATCCTTCAAATTCTAACTTTTGCTAAATGACCTACGGACCTCCGGATCCACATCCGGACGCGCTCCTTTGACCAAAATCACCATACGAAGCTTTTACTAGGCTCAGAATCCCAAACGGACATCGATAATATTGAAATGCCCTTCAACCCAACTTCATGAAATTCTTCCAAAGCACCAACTTTCCACAATAGGTGTCGAAATGCTCGCAGGTCATCCAAAACCCGATCCAGACATACGCCCAAATCCAAAATTATCATACGAATCTGTTGGAACCTTCAAGTTCCGATTCCGAGGTCGTTTACTCAAAAATCAAACCTTAGTCAATTCCTCCAACTTAAAGCTTTCGAAAATATAATTTTCTTTCCAAATTAACTCTGAACTTCCCGAAATTCAATTCCGACCACACGTACAAATTATAATACCTGAAGTGAAGCTACCCTTAGCCTCAAACTGCCAGACGATGCGCTAAAAGCTCGAAATGACCGGTCGGGTCGTTACATTCTCTCACACTTAAACATATGTTCATCCTCGAACGTGCGAAGAACTACTCCGAAATTTTCCGAAATCATTGTTTATGTTACACCCTATATTTTCGTACGTAAAAATACATCGTAAGCAAACTAATGTAGGACCAAAAATGAGATAATATTTAAAAGTATAAAAAGTAATTTAATCATATTACCTCTTAGGTTATAAATATTGAAGATCATGAACAACAAGTACAAAGAGGGTTGGATGGTTCAGAAGCTAAAGCAATTGAAGAAAATAATGTTTCGTCGAAAGTCGACAAGTTGGGAATGTTATAACATGTACCTTTGGGGTGAGACTAGGGTATTTAACATGATAAGGAGATTATGTTATGATTTATACTTGTCGTATGACATCCGTGTGTTATGTTTTGAAGTTAAGCGAGTTGTGGAACAAAAGTCGATGAAAGTCATCACAAGTTACATTCATAAGTTTTACTGAAACTTTGGGTCAAATGTAACTGCGATTTTCTCCCAATATACTTAGATTTATGGGGTGTTCCACCCATCAAATTAAAGATCTATGAGTCTATTTTCCAACGCATTAAACCGTTTGTCAATACGATATTGGAGTAGAAAGATATGGGCATTTGTGCGATACTGCGCAAGCTGCTAGGTGACAAGTAGGTGTGTCACCTACTTGCTTAAAGAGAGCCCAAAAAATAGGCCATTTCGGGTCGTCCAAAGAGGCCTTTTAAAGGCCTATTTTCTTTATAAATTAGACTTAAAATAGAGCATAA